TATTAGTATGGTGTTCCTAATAATCCTTTAGGTGAGTGTATATATATATGTTTGATGTCATGATATTATTCGGTTGAGACAGACAAATCAAGGTGGGGGTGTGTAGCTTATGGATAATTTGTAAAATGGAACACAGTTAATCAGAGTGCCCCCATCCAGCTGTCTCCACGAAATTAATCCTGACTGTGTTATTTAATGTTTCTGTCTGTGTTTTAATTAATCTGCTATTCGCATAAGCTACCTCGACGCAGACGTAATTTGGATTTAAAGTTTTCTTATATTTTGGGTCCCTAAATTACCTTTAGAAACCTATCAGGGCTCTACTGTCATAATATAGTGCATATTGTAGTGCGCCCCCTAGCTGTGTGGAGTGTTTCTGTTTATTTTTTGTTAATACATGCAATAATATACAATAATGTGTTCCTGTCTCCCTGATTAGCTCAGTGGCAATCAGTTTGTTATAAATGATTGTGTGTGTTTATTTACCCTGATGGATGTCTCCATATATGGACTGGAACAGTGTCCTGCGATATGTGATTAGATTATGTTAGTAATGGGCATATGGTTTTCTTCCTGCTATGATTCTGTTGCTTCTTTACAGGAGAAACAGGCTGTTTTTTCACTTTAATAAAACTTGCCTGCAGGATCCTCTGAGGAACATTGGCATTTTTCCTCCATGAAGGAGTCTGTGTCCCCTTGTCATGTTTTGCCCCACCACCAGGAGGCGATACGCTTGTTTTTTTGTGTGTCTGAGTTGGGGTTTTGGGGCATTTAGAAAACAGGGTAGGTAGAGGCTGTAATCCTGCTTGTTTGATGATGTTTGAAGACGTGTGTAGTGGGGATTAGCATGACCGCAAGCTCCTAAACCTGTTCGGGTTCAGCTTTGTCAAGGTTTTTATTGAACCAAGGTTTATTTTTCATGGAATGGAATGAACATTTATGCTAAGCACTGTGTTGCTGACTTGACAATAGAATGCTACTGTGTAATAGATCATGAGAATTGCTTCATTTTTCTGCATCTCTGGCAAGTTATAGCTGAGTTTGTATCTAATCCAGGAGTACCATTTAACAGATTATTGGAATGATCTCATTATTCAGTCCTATCAGCTGCACACTGTTTTACAGGCATGACCAAAAGAAATTGACATTCTGCTATGTTTTGGAAGGTGACACAATTCAGGGGTCAGCTTATGTTGGCTTTGCCAAGTCAGTGCCAATTGAAGGTAGTATATCACATCATTTTATTTTAATATTTGTTTAATAGTCACAGATGACAGTTGTTACTATGTTTGGAGAAAGCCATACCAGGAAACCTGTAACAATATTAAAATGTTTGTATTTTTGGATAAAATCGTTGGGTAGTTCCTTCACTTGATTCGATAAAATGGTTAATCATGGTGAATTTAGCAGAAAGATATTGTTAGGAAACCTTAATTAAAACGTGTTAATTATCCACCTGCCAATACATCCAGAGTTATTCTTAGCTCCTCTGCCTTGTTCATCATCTGGCTCGACGATCAGTCAGGCGTAGGTGGCCATTTATGGGTCAGGCTCATTAGTGACGACGGCCTCAGAGTCTCCCCAAAGTTGCCAGCTAAGGTCTCCCCCTGCCAGCCACACCATCTCAGTCACTGCCAGTCAATTCCACTGATAAGATGGGGACTAATTGCCCTGGTGCCGAGAGAGGCCCCTAACTGGTAACACACTGGATAACACCACTGAATTGTGTCACTGTTGTTCTTCTGACAGCTTGAAGGCTTTATGTCATGCCTACCCATGAGGTTTTCTTTAGGCTAAGTGTCAAAGACGGATTTGATTAATGTTAACCTGACAATCCTGCACGTATTTCAGCTTCTCATGTGACAATTTCTTGGACATGAAGGATTAACTTGAGGAATGTGGCTTGCAGGCAGTACTTTGACGCTGACAGAAAACCTGCATTCCCATTAATTAACTCTTTTTTGTATGTGTCTATGTGTTAGTGTACTGATTGAATATTCCCGCTTTTAGGAGGAGCGATGTCTCGCTTTCACAAAGACCCCCAAGAAGACTGGCTCACTGTGTGTCTGAAATACCTCCTCTTCATGTTCAACTTCCTCTTCTGGGTGAGTCTAACACTGGCTTTAAAGCAGTCGGGCTTTGGTGTGCCGCGGATGTATATTAGGTAAATGCTGGCTGGTCAGAGTCCAATACCAGGGGTATAAAATAAAGGACAAAGTAAATGAAGTTGTACCAAGAAGTGGAAGTAAAATCCGTACAGAAGACAGGGATCATTGCTTTTCTGTGGATATTTGTACAGCCATAAAACAGTAAGGTGTACCGTCGATCAATAGGGCGTCAGAAAACAATGTTCCTTCCTAATTCAGTAAAAAAATGGTTGCATTATAACAGAAAGCTTAGGCAGTACAATGCACTGTGTAGTATTGACAGCCAAGTAACTGTGATAAAAATATATATAATTCTGAAAATGTGCAGAAATCACAATGAGACCTTTGTAAGAGCCCTCGGAACAGAAATGGATGTTAGTGCCTTGTACATCTGGGCCTTGTGATCTA